TTATTTTTTCCGATTCGATTTTATTGATAGTTATCGAATGTTGTCGATTACCGACTTTAACGATTGCAAATGCCAGACAGTGACACACTCGCCAAAGGCTCGTTTGCCAGGGATGACGTAAAAAGATAAAAACAAAAGGTCAAGCAGAGCCTTTTCTTGTCTTCGTGAAAGATGTAGGAGAAAAGGAGGCTCTGCCTGAATCTCTTCAGGTCTTTGATGTCAGCGACTCATTTCAAACTTTTGGACTTTTCAATCTTTTGTTTTTCCTCTCGTCAAGCTGTTTTTTTTCTTGTGCGAGCATCGGTTTATTGATAAACCGATGGTCACAACTGAGCCCGCTGTAGCACGCGCAAGGCTAATAGGCCTGGGCTTGGAACTATATCCTGCCAACATGCCAGGTAGCTCTAGAAACTGGCCTCACTCGATTCCTGCAGAGTCTTTTTCGAGTACGCCAAAATCGAGAAGGGGAAAGAAAGGCTCTGGGGGCAGGGAGACGTTATTTGTGATCTATTACCGATTATACAATGATGAATGTGAATGCTGCGCGCGCTGTGATACATGGATGACGTCACGGGAGACTTGTTTTCTTCGTTTTGTTCAAATGGCGCGTGGGTTTGAAGATGTCTGTGAGATTATTTCGGATTAAAGCAAATGAAAGCCTCGAGAAAGCTCAGGAAGAGGAGCTTTTTCCAAAGAAGAAAACTGGATAAACGGATACAAAGAGAGCTATTGGTCAAGTTTGCCGTTGTCCAAACACCAAGCTGGCAACGAAAAGATGCTGTTTTCGAAGTCTAGGCGTCCATACAAACATGACCCTTGGATAAATATCGCTAAATTATTAAACGTCTCCATTGAGCAGGCAAAGAGGTCTACACAGGATAAGAGTGATTTTGCTGCACTGGTGGACCGTATGGACGTCAGTACAACTCCATGGTAACAGGTTTACCAACTGGAAGATTTGAGCTGTACTGTACTGTACTTGAGAATGCTTAAACTACAAGAAATCTTCACAACAGTTGCCATCATGTGTCATCCCTACGAGAGACTCGCTTTTTTGCAAAATGCTTTCCCAATTATTCTGCTTTTAGCAAGAAAAGACGTTGGAAAACTTTTCGAAGATGCCTTATCAAGTAAGATAAGGAAAAAAGAAGAAGCAGATCAGTGATATATTCGCCCGCGGCTCGTGTGCCATGGAATCTATTTGTTAAACAGAGACGCACGGCAATTAACATGGAATCTATTTGTTAAACACCATCCTCGAAGACCCAGGGGAAGATAAATACATGCGCACACATACAAAACGGTGCTCCCATTTCGCGTGACCAAAAACATTTCTCCAACCTGATGCTAAAGAAAAAATGATCCGTAAAAACGCCGTTGCGTGATCATGTATGGAAGATTCACGCTATCTTCTATCGTTTTATTGGCTAACTAGTTAGCCGAGTGTCCATCCTGACGTGCTGCTAAAATAGCAAACCGATCATTGAACAAGAAATGATCATGTCAACAGCCGCATTGCTGAGCACCATTTACAGACGAAATATCAAATCGACTGGGACTCTGCAACATGCATCACGTACTAATACGTCGAAGTTGAGGGGTTTTGTGTGGGAAGGGGGAGCCTGCTCCAGAAAAATTTGCTGAATCACTTAACCGTTAAACTTGGTTTCTACAAACACGTCGACCTTCCTCTGAAGAGAAGAGGTAATTTCTTGGTTTACTCTATTGCCGGGCATAAGCCTGTTGAGCGGGCATCTTGAATATAGGTAAGACAGCTTATCCGAGAAGTCCACTTCCGCAACAGGCTGTAGTTCTGCGCCCTTGTTTCAGTTATGGCCAAATAGCCTTTTTGAATCGGTCAGTGTAAAACGAAGACTGCGGACTGCAGACTGCGGACCAGGGGTAAAATGCAGACTGTGTGTAAAATGCAGACTGCAGACTGAGAGTAAAACGCAGGTTGGGGTAAAATGCAGACCGAGCATAAACTGTAGTCGCGGAAAGGTTTAAGGGCAAAACGATCCCTAAAATACATGTAAACAACACCACTTTCACTTACTTCACATCTCCTTTCACAAATCCATTCCTTCCTCGCTCTGGAACGTCGCCGACGACGCGAAAACCGGTGTGCGACAAACGCAGACTGCAGACTTGCAGACCTGCAGACCTGCAGACTAGCAGACTTGCAGACTCGAAGATTTGCAGACCTACATTTTTTTGCGACAGGGCTTTGCTCTGTTTACTGTTGGCGAATCGCAAAGTATGTCTGAGGCAAACAACAGCGCTAGCGGGCTGCAAGCACAACAGTGCCCGATTCGACAGGTGACTGGAAATCCTTGCCGTGGAAGACTTAACATCGGAAGAACGGTGACCTAAACTTCAGCGAGAGCAGCGAAGAAGAAGACGGGTGGGATCATCGGGCGGCTTTATAGCGGAAGGACATCTGTGAGCAGGGAATAAGTCAGCACAGAATTTGATTGTCGGCGAATTTCTGTAATCATCCATCGTTTGCTTGTGATAAGCTAGCCGTTGTTCACTCGTCTTGCTTGTTTGGGGCCGAGTCTTATTCCGGTCAAAGAGAGAGAAAGAGTGTCTGGCAAGGTTTCCAATCAAAGATTTGTGAACGCATGTCTGGCAAACTCTCCAAGTGTTTATATACACACGGTTGTACGCACCTTATAACTTCATCTGCGCTTAACGAGTGTCTTTTGGTCCATAACTTTCACTGAAACAACTGCTCCACAGAATGTCACTGATAACACGTAACGCAAAAGAGTATCGAAGTATGACTGCATAATAAATGTCACAAAATCTACCTAAGCGGTCCCTTCGGAATTTTCTGTCTTCATCAAGTCATCATTACCTACCGATTCCTCGCGGCCCCTGTTCAAGCAAATCAAGATTTTTTCTGGCACACTGACTGTATATTTCAACTGTAAGTACTTTCCTTAATATAGGCGCGAGTTACTAGAGTGCCTCCTCGGGATTTCGCCCTCTGGGCGAGATCCCTGCGGGGGCAATTATCCCCCCTCCCCCCCTCCCCTGTGAGTTCCGAACGTGTCTGCAAGTCTGCAAGTCTGCAAGTCTGCAGGTCTGCAAGTCTGTAGGTCTGCGGTCTGCAAGTCTGTAGTCTGCGTTTGTCGCACACTGCGCGAAAACATACTAGTAATCGCAATCTTTAACCTTTTTTCCGTTCGAGAGCCGTCACGCTTCAACTTTTGATACAGGTGACCGTGAATTGGTACAACGATCTTTACGCTTAAATAAAAGCTGCTGACCCGAAATAATGTACAGAAAGAATTCAAAAGAATTATAGCGATAAAAAAGGGAGTAAATCATTCCAACAACAAAGGAAGATGTTCTGCAGGAAATTTCGATGACCTTCTATGAAAGGATTGAAAATCAAGGTAAGCAGACTTAAGCTGTTTAGATGTTCATTGAACTTTTGGCGAGAATGTGTAATGTACTTCGACTAGGAAGCGAGGTGTGTAACTGATTACCAGCTAGCTATTTGAAGAAGAAGGAGTACAGTCTCCATTCTGCATTTTGCACCCAGCCTGCGTTTTACTCTCAGTCTGCAGTCTGCATTTTACACCCTCTCTGCATTTTACCCCTGGTCCGCAGTCTGCAGTCTGCAGTCCGCTAGCCTGTTCCAAGCGTTCAGATAGTGGAGAGCCAGGTGGAGAGCGGTGCGAAGTAAAGAAAGCGATGAAAAGTAGAGGGGGACTGGGGAGAGAGGTGCGGGAACGCTTGTAAGAATTTTTAACAAAAGTGCGTTCCGGTATACCAGATCCTGGTATACCCTCTGATTGGTTGATTTTGACAGTTTTTGTCAACAGTGGAGCGTCTTCGATCACAGCGAGAAATGCGATATGGCGATGATGACAGACTCTACGTCCTGTCCAGAATTCGAACTGGCAACAAACACAGAGCTGAGTGACTTTCCAAACGTGGAGGCTAAACGCGAAGAGCAAAGGAACTGTTTAAAACACGTAGTCGGCAGGATAGATGTCTTCGCAATTTCACCGACTGGCCTCGGAAAAAGACTTATTTTCCAGCTTTTTCCTCGAATAAAGCGTGCGTTGGAATGAAGGCAGGATAGAATGCCATTTACGATTGTTGTGGTAACTCCGTTGATTGCCGTCATGAAAGACCAAGTGGAACATTTGAACAAAATCGGAGTAGCGGCGGCAATGATGGGAGAAGATGTGGATGAAGCCGTTAAAAGTGGAAGCTGTGAAATTGTATGATCCTTAAAAATTCACTTAAAGGCGTACTGCAGTCACAAATCGTGGTTGTCTAAGAAATGGACAAAAGGACTTCAAAGGAAAGCTTGGAAAGCAAGTTGCAGCTATCGCTATTGACGAGGTCCACTCAATCATCGAGTAGTAAATTTTCCCTTCGTTTGTTGGGCATTTTCATTGCTCGAGTTAACGATCTGTATTGAAACGGCTTTCTATCGAAATGAGCGATATTTGTTTGTCACCTGATTCATAATTTTTTTGTCACGTACACGCTGAAATCATGTTTTAAAGCCGTAAATAAATTACTTATCCCGCTCTCTATTGTCTGAAAGTCTTTCATTAGGTTTTTAGTAAGATTATGTACACATAATATTAATTTTGATGTGAGAAATTTTGATTTATTCCTAAGAAAAATAATAAATGTATGGGGCTGTAACATCAGTCTTAATTGACAAGTGAAGACCACCTACAGCTGACGCGGTCTGAGTGGGAGGATGAGTCTATTTAAAACAACTCTAACAGGCGTTCCCTCTCTCACCTCCCCCCTCCCTCGCTTTTATTTTTTCGCGCTCCTTTTTTCTTCGCACCGCTTCCCACTATCTGAACGCCTGGAACAGGCCAGCAGTCCGCAGTCTGCGTTTTACACTGACCGCTTTTCGAATATTAATTACCTCACGAGATGACAAATCGAACACTCCTGTTTAGTTTCGGTTGGACGCCATCACTGCGACTAACAACGGCGTAACTTTCTTCGAAAAAATGTCTGAGGTCGAATACAACAATTTACTCTACCAGATAAGTAAAAGACTCGATGAGCTAGATGTAGGCGACCAATTACTGTTTTTGTGCAGAGGGAAAGTGACAGATCATGGCGAAGAAAACATTCCAACCCGCTCGTTGATTAAAGAATTAGAAGACAACGGATTTCTCAGTCCCGATCGTCTAGTGCTATTGAAAGGTATTTTAAAAGGTGTCGAGGAATGGACTCTTTTTCAACAAGTTGAAAAGTTTGAGGCCAAAAGAAAGGAATACAGATGCTTGCTTGAGAAGGTTATTCGAGTACTCGACGAGCTAAATGATCTGGAACGGCTCATCTCGATTTGTACAGGAAAGATAACAGTAGAGAGGCAAGGAAACATTCATGATGTGCGATCGTTGTTCAAGGAGCTAGAAAGCAACGACTGGCTGGGAATTTATTGCCTCGACACTCTAAAGGAGATTTTAGCCCAAACAGAGAAAATTGATCTACTTAAGGAAGTGGAGGAGTTCAAGCAACGACTAAGTCGTGAACTGAAATTTGAAATGCGAAAAGGTATCCACTGACAGTGCAGATGTCTCATTTCGTCAAATTTGTTACCTACTCTTATTCATGTGTGTTTGCATTATACCTAATATGATCATCATTTCTAAAAATTTTTAAAATTGCATATGTTTGTCTTAAATGTTTTAGCGCAAGCTGCTTCCGTACTATCATCAGTTGGCGAGAAACTGATCGGAGGTAAGAAGTATATTATATTACGCTGATAAATAAGCCCTAGCTAAAGGAAGGAAGACCGACTTACTACTCTACCATTAATTTCAGGATTTCTAATTATGAGCAGCTATAGGGAAACATACGTGGGAAATCGCACAAACAAATGGTAACAGACCTTTTGCAAAGGGACACATTCTCAGAATATTTGTCTAGTGGTGTAGGTTATATAAGTGTAATTCAATATTCAATTTGAATTGTAAGGTCGGTGCTTGAGCAAGTTAAGCAAAAAGCCAAAATTTAGTTTGTTTACGATCTTGCTCATTGTTAAGAACTATAAAATAAAGGAAAAGACTCAGCATACGTGGAATTTGAAGGTAAATCGAACGCCGTTTGACTCGTCACAGGAAGGTAGTTTTATAACTACCTGCTACTGGGCTGTTATTAAAAGCATTGTCAGACCGTCTGCCTATAAGAATGCAACAAAACTTTTTCTTTACAAGCCCTTTAAATGTCAACACTCCAGGAACGATAAGCGAAAAACGGGCTTGTTTTTTAATTATTGAAAAATCCAGAAACATTCAATTACGTTATACAATAAATTATACCTTCATTACCCGCCTACCGTAGCTGTTTATGCCTGAGTGAACTAATTTAAAACTTTTGATTAATTTGGGGACAAAATTGGTTTGCAATCGTGATGTCTCCACTTTCACCTGTTTCACATTTAATTTAAAGTTGAAAATATAGTAAATAAGTTTTATGATTTAAAAAGGTATCTTCATACCTACATGTTTGTAAGCGCCGCACCTTAACTATTACATAGTTTTCACTTGTTTAGTGTCCTTATTTTCCCTCAAATCCTATTTGCATTGTCACTGCCATTCCTTCTTGGCGCCAAAGATACGGTGGCAGGAAGGAACTAACATCTTCTGAGGTAATGTTCGATTCATGATTAACCATTTTCAGGCTCCCTTCTTTGTGATCCCTTCAATTGCATCGCATGTTATAAAACGGATGGGAGGGTGGAATCAGATACAGATCTGGGAACACGAAAAGTTGCCTGACAGGTACCTTAATGCCTCGAAGAATCTGCAAATGGGAAGAGAGAATATACATTGTTAGGGCGACAACGTTTTCGGCTAAAGACAACATCTAGCTAGAGGCTTTCGCAACCCACTTTGAAAACTGTCTTTGTGTTTTGTTGTCTCTGCCCACTTATTTGAGAACCTTAAAGAGTGCGTTCTATTCTTTGTGTTTTAGTGTTGAACATGAAGACTCTGTTCAAAGCTGTAGCAGGGGGCTTTACAATCGCTTCCAGCTTGGAGCTATTGATTCGGGACTCAACATATGACCAGCTCGTCACGGCTGTTAACACCTGTGTACTTCCTTCTGGCACCAGCTTGATTCAAATAACCGAAGGCTGTGTGTGTCTCAAAGTTCAAGTAGAAAGTCTTTCAGCTCTTGAAAACCTGTGGAGCATGTATACGGACGGGACGCTAAAAGCACGCCTGCAAGCCTTATTTGTCACTGACGAAATGAGAGAAATTGTTGGCGGAGAGCAAGTGGAAGTCATAGTGACCATCGACCAACTAGAATGTGAGAAAGCCCGGACAGAGTTAATCAGGGAAGCTCAAGGTGAATAACATATTTGTAGCAGTTAGTTAATTCCACCCAACATACTTCCTGCAGTTACTCCGGCAAAACGGATTTAGGGTTATTGTCAATGAAGGAGAGTCACTAAGAGACTAAGGGGTTGGTTTCGAAAGAAACTGTACCTTGGCGTATGTGGGGGAAGAGCAAAAAATTGGTATTATTGACTAGGTAAACGTAGATTGGGCATCATAAAGAGATTGAGAAACTGACGCTTTCGACGCTAAGGTTAGGCTTTCGTCATATACTGGATGTGGGAGCTTGGTACATAGTAACGTCTAAAACAACAACAAAAAATAATTGAATACATGAAGAGCGTTGATTCTGTAGGTATCAAGAATGCCGATTTGAAAGACAATGTTTTTCTCTTGGCGTTTGCGTCATCTTAAACACTTTAATATCTCTTAAATAACACTGAAACCACAGGATATTTTAACAGCCACTTTAACATGTTCCCATGTTGATAGGGTTAGCGATTTTTAATGAGAAAACGCTCTTAACACTATGTTTACTTCCGATTCATTTTTTGTTCAATTATTTTAATTTATTCGCTCCTACATTCATTTGCCTTTCGTTTGACCACTTTTAAAGGTCCTGTTGTACAGAGGGAGGAGAGGCAGGTTGAAAATTTTACCTACATTAATGTTCAGAGATATTTAGAACAAAACAAGCTGGATATCGATTCACATAGTACAACAACCGGAACAAGCGACAGTGGAATGGCGGAATCACATGGTACACCATCTGAGCTTGGAATGGGAGAAACTAGCGGTAAAATACACTTTATAATAAAACGCATCATTAGACCTAGAGCATTTCAATTAAGAACAACCAGAAAAAACTTCGTATTAGATATTCACATAGCATATAAATACTAAGGAATCGACAAAACGGAACATTTTGTAATCTTGCATCCTGTTTATTATAAATGCTTTTTCTTTCTCTGCTTTAAAATATTATTTTGGAGGTTTTTTTGCACCTGCCGAGTTTTCACCTTGTTCCCTACCTCTTATCTCTTTTAAGAACCGTGTGTGCAATTGTGGATATCTAAAATTGTGGATAGCACTCTGGAGTTGTAATTTCGGAATTTAAATGAATTACCCTAGCGATTAAAACGAGGGTTAAATCAATGTCCTATTATTAGAGGCAGTCAAGTTTGCTTTCAGTCTACAACTAGAGAACTTATTACTGCTATAAGCTTTCCTAGTGCCCAGCTTCCTTTTATCATGGTCTGTTTAAAGCAAAAATAATATAGATCTAGATCTTAACTTTGCAACTTCGATAGTCTTTGGCGCGGTAAGTCAATCTTATTAAAAAACCCACCGTATTTACTCGAAGTAAAGGCTGCTTGCTTTAGCCACCCCTCAAAATAACCACAGACTATATGTGGAGGGTCTGAATGGGGGCGTCGTGGTCCACCTGTCGGTTGTCAGTTAAAATTTAGTTACTTTGTCGGTAGTCGGTTAAAATTTTCGATCTTTGTCGGTTGTCAGTAAATCTGTGTTGTGTTTGACGTCATTTCCTCTTTAAACACAGAATTCTTCCAAATTTGGTCATCAGTAACTGGTTATGGTGAATTATGCGTGTACTTTTAGCCAATCTGAATTGGGGAAATATTTTGAATGAATAATAATATCTATTATGTATTTCCCAGTTTCAAGACTTTAATTTGATCCCTTAAGAAAGAATAAACTTGCAAGAATGCATCATTTGATCAGTGCACTTAAACTTCAGTAACACTTTCCGGTTCGTTTATTTCACCTTTTACCAATATAGTACTTACTGATGAAATCACCAAAACTTTTATTGTAAATGCGAACTTGGTTTCCCTGTTGAGTAAAGGGCACAATAAAACGTAATTAATGGACAGAGAGGAAAACGCCAACTCTAGCCGTTTGGATACTTAATTATTTTTAGTTAAAAACTTCAAGGGGAAACAGGCTACAAATCTATACGGGCGTGAAATCGCGTGTTGACCTTAATATTTTGGCACTAACAAGCATGTCCTTTGCATTTTTTTTCTTTTCTTGTAGGAAATAAAAAGTGGTTCTTTAAAAATTTAGCAAAATAGTGGTTTGTTTTGTATGAGATTCCACTTTTTCATTAAAGCTTGTATTATAGTAGACACTAAGGGCTGGTATTGCGTTATAAAAGGCATTGAATATTTCTTTTTCTTCCTTGGTGTTTTGGTGTCAGGAGCATGGCCTTCCTTTCTGCGAGTTTTATTTCTGATAGCAATTTTTCCTTTAAAATTGTGTGGGTAGCCTCTGTCCATCGGTTTTTGAAAATTGAAACACTCGTCAAACGTTGCTTTAGAGGCGCTTGTTCGCAGGATTCTTAAGGCTTCTTCAGACTTGACAAATCCACTTTAACACTTAGTGAGGGACTAGATTTCTAAATGTGTACACTGAATATGTTTCTGTTTGTCTGTACATCAAGGATAGTTTTTTCCGTTGAATATTGTGCCATGGTATAGTGTTGGTACGGCCGTACCATACAACCGTTTCTAAACAGTCTAAGTGCATTGTCTCAGTGTCAGATATTTCGGCCGTGAATTTCATAGGGATTAAGCGGAGTATAAGTTTAATTCTTCGAAGAAAGTTACGATGTGCGGTTTACTTATGTCCATTCTCGTCCGCAGAGCCCGTCGTTTCTTGGTCGCTTGGTCTTGAAACCACTGGTTCGTTACAAATTAAATATAAGCCGCGTGGCTCGGGAACAAAAATAACTTATGCCCCACAGGGAAAAAATGTCATCACAGATGTAGCTTTTTCAAACAGTTGGCTTAAAGATGGTTTTGCTTAGACTTTGTCTTTCACTATATGCCGAAAATGGTCGGAAAGCAGGGGTGTAGCCAGGATTTTTCCAGAGGTACGCACAACTATTTCCAAATTCCTCTAGTCACCCCCTTGTAACAAAGTTTTCATGCTTTAAAAATCTAGCTTGCCGCTATTTACGCGCTTTTTCCAGCCTGCCAGTTCTAAAAATATATCGGTCCACCAATGAATCACCAGTTTCTTCTCTGGAAACTGACAGTTGGGGGTAAAAAAAAAAAAGTGCGTTGTTTTAGAAAAATATATTTCAAAGAAACAAGCATATCGGTCCACCAATGAATCACCAGTTTCTTCTCTGGAAACTGACAGTTGGGGGTAAAAAAAAAGAAGTGCGTTGTTTTAGAAAAATATATTTCAAAGAAACAAGCAGACTTAGTAATTGAATTGAGAAATATTGTTTTTTATTTATTCATTTATTTGCTTTTTTCAGATAACTGGCATTTCCATTTCATATTACTATTTTTTTCTATCCTCGACTTTTTAATTAAACGCACGTGCAGCGTACCTTGCTTATAGGTAGATACGCCCCTGGAAAGGAAACTACTGTCTTTGTGCTCATCGCGGTAACGTTTGTTTTTACTGATAGTGCTTTCCATTAAACTGGAAAGACTTTTCTTTGACGATTAATCTAAGCATTTCTCGCGGGTAATGTGTAGGAATAAGAGGGTTGTTTTCGTATAAATTTTCATATGCTCTGCAAACTATTTCAATACCCTCGTTTTTTGGTACATTTGAGTAAATACTTGCGACGTCCATCGAAACAAAAAATAGTCTTAGCCTTTAGTTTTTCACCTTTATCTTTTCAATGTTTTTTTTTAAAGTCGGTGGGATCGATCTTCTCAACAATCAAAAGAGGAAATTCTTTCGGTTGGACCATCTGATGAGTCATAAATATACAGAGGTTACGTCCTAAGCTAGAATAAATACAAAGCTCTTTTTTCTGAAAACAAATATCGATAATGTTAGTCCAAGTCAACCTCGTTCCCAGGGTTCTCTCCTACCCGCGAGCGAGGAGAGAACCCTGGGAACGAGGTTGGATCCAAGTCGGTACTCGGTTAAAATTTTCCTGTCGGTAGTCGGTGATTGTTTTCTCGTTTTGTCGGTAGTCGGAATATCTTAGTCTCCCAAGACATGAACCATGCAATTACACTACCGAATGGCTTTCCTCTTAATTGTCTATTCTATGAAGATGACTTAGTTTTAATATCTAGAAGTGCTGCCAGTCTCCAGAAACAATCAACTCGGTATTCTTCAAAATTATTGTGAGAAGTGGCTACTTAAACTACAAAAAAACCCCGTTCATATTCCAAAAACAAAATCGTAAATCAACTTGAGAAAAATATGTCTTCTTTCTAAACGGAAAAGAAATTTAAAATGCTCAAGAATACACTCATCTAGGTACAACCTTTAACTCAAATGGAAATTTTTCAACCTCAAAACAACGATCTATCAAATCGCGTGGAAAGACATAACGCAAATTTATAAACACTATTTAGGTTTAAACAGAAGGGCCCCAAATGTGGGATCTCGAAACGAAATTGGAAGGCGGTCTCTGAAATGAAACATTTATTTAAAGATCATCAAATTTTGCATTGATCTCGAGAATCTTCCAGAAAAAAAGTATTGCGAGACAGTGTCTCAAACTCTCAATTCAAGTAGCAGATGCCAAAAGACAATCCTTCATGGACTCCGTCATTGAGATTCTATAGCACTATGGTTTTGCAGATAGAATAGAACTACACGATTTACATTCAACAAAACGTCCAAAGGAACTTACTCAAATTGAAACAAAAGATAATGATAAATTTGCGAACTCACCAAATGCAATTGTTCAATCAAAATAAAAATTAACTCCTACTTTACTGTTCTTTTAAAATCATTCAATACGCTTCTGTTCAGATGGATCTAATTGAAAGTTTGCAACACAGACAATCCGTTGGGAAATTGAGATTTCGAAAGCATGATTTAAGAATTGAAATCGGTAGATACTGTGTCCTAAAGATTCCAGAAAATGCTAGAAGACATGTATGTCAACACTGTTCATGTAATAACATTCTTTGATTGTAGTCTCTACAGCTACGCAAGAGAACAATTATATGACGATATTACTTTTAAATATCCCAGATTTACTAATCTAAGGGCGCTTTCCAAAAGTGAGAACTCGCCGGCCGGACTATGGCCGAACCAGTCATTTTGACAATGAAATGATTTTGATTAAAAGTGAAATTCTCCTTACGACGGGAACGGCCCGGCCGGTCAGTTCTGACAAATGGAAAGCGCCCTAGGTTGATAGAAAAAACATTGCTTCTTTTTCAAAAATGTAGAAACTACAATATATTTGTAAAAAACTAGGTTATTTCATTTTTGAAGGATTCCGGAGAAGAAAATTAAGATTTCGTAATTTTTTGTTCCTGATTATCTCCCGTTAGCATTATGATCACTTTGTTACCACAATTGTACTTTTAATCCAAAGGAATCCTACCCTACTTTTTAGTCTAATATAAATATCTTTTTAGGGGGAGTTACTTTTCTTTTTAATCAGTTATTAATGTATTTTATTTTTATATTATTTTTCCTTTTTATGCAACACTATTTACGTAAATGGTACTGCGAAATAAACATTGTTGTTGTTGTTGATGGTTTCTAACTTAGGGTAAATACCTCATTGCATTTTTAAGCATTTGCTCTTCTTCCTAGATTCTGTATCCAATCTGTGTTTAAGAGATCTGAGTAAGGCAGTGATGGCAGAACTGGCCCGCAGACTTCAATCGGATCCCACTGCTCTACGACGATTTTATCAGTCTTTTGGGCTTGATCCTGAGAAACTGCCCCCCTATATGCTGAACAAGATAGCCGAATTCTTTCCTCACACCCCAGTCAAGCTGTTAAGAGACGTTTTACAGGAGTTGCAGTTGTATGACCTCGTGGAAATGTTGGAGAAAGTAAAATGGCGGTCACTTCGTCCTTCTCTTCCCCTGAAAGAAATGAAGAAGTTATTAAACGCCAGTGAACGTCCTACAAAGTTTTATAGTAAAGCAGAAGTTTTGGTGATCGAGTATTCAGATAGGGAGGCTGTTGCACAGGTTTATCCAGATGTTGAGAGAATTGGATGTTTTTTCCAAGCTCTAAATTCACAGAGCAAAATGACTAGATTAACAGCAAAGTTTGCAGGACAAAAGCAGAATGAGCTGGTGGTGCTGAGGAATAGAAAGAGGACAGAAGAACGCCTTGACCTGAGAGCACGCGACAAGGAAGCAATTTTCAAAGAACATCTGCAAAAACAGACGTCAAAGAGTGATTACAACGTATTTTACCCCCCCAAGAGTGAGCTTGCTACTTATCTTCTTACGGAAGAGGAACGGAGCGCGTTTCAAGAAGGACCGGCGGTGATAAAACTCCTTGATAAGGTGATAGAGGAAAGAGGGCGGAGAAAAGTGAAAATAGAGAAAATCGTAAAGGAGATACAACAGAAGGAGGAAGAACTAAAAAGACATCAGGAGGGAGAGAACAAAAAATTCAAAATGGCCGTATCAACCGTCACCAACAAATGGATCCACGAAGCGAAAGATGAAGGTATGCTAATTTGTAATTTTGACTTACTTCTCGCGATTTTTGTCCTTTACTCTAGTCTGTTTTACGTGCAAATGAAGGTGATAGTTGCTCATAGGAAGAGGCGACTGTGACTCTCTTTCATCAATTATGTGAGGTCAAAACAAACAATTGTAACCTAGAAATAGTACAGGTCGATTCAGTCGTTGGGTTTGCAATTTGAAACATATCTTTTCAGGGGCACCCAAAACAGCATTCCTCAGTTCCACCACTGCCTGTCATTACATTTTACCCACGGTAGTGAGGCTTGACCTGAGCAAGGTATTAGGCAAATTAAAAAGAGATCGGTCATTGCGCTCCTGCAATCAGCTTTTTGTTTACTGCCTTCTCACCTGCCTCTAACAAAATAAACCGCACTTTTTATTTCTGACGACAAGAAAGCATTTCCCTTCTAATGAATTAAATGTCCACTCTTATAACTGATCATGATTGATGTATGGGATGACACCATGACACTCATGGCTACTGATGAAATTTTTGAGGCTGCAGTTTAACAAACTGGTGGACGGTTCAGCATACACTTATTTGAATTAGGGTTGCTACTATAAAACATGATGCAAGATGAATGATGATCCATGTTTCATAGCTTGTAGTGCACTGTTGTGGACCCTTTAGTAATGACGGGATCTTCGACCCCGTGCACACTGTTCGAAATAACGGAATTATTGGCGTTTGCTCGGGGTTGTTTCGAAAAAAAGGTAAAGAGATATTTGACCTGAAATGGGTACTCAAATTCTCAAGTTCGAGCTAGCGGAAGAATTTTATTTCAATATCGCACACTGATGAGAAACTACAAACCGTTGCGTTTGACAACCGTAAAACAGGGTTTTACAGCTTTCCGTGAGTGACGCCTTGGAACCAACCTGGCCTGGAACCAACCTGGCCTGGAACCAACCTGGCTAAGTGGCTGGTAAACGTATAGACATTGTCAGAGTTTCAAAACGGCCATCCCGGTAGCCTGTTCCAGGCGTTCAAATAGTGGGAATAGCGCAAAGAAAAGTGAACAGGAAAAAACAGCGAGGTTTCCTTCGCTCTTCATTCCGCACCACTCTCCAATATCTGAACTCCTGGAAGAGGCTACCAGCGAGGCTCTTAGTCACACAATCAAAGGATTTTGCCCTTCAAGTAAGTGTGTTGAACTCGATTAACTAGACTATTGACGTGAAAGTGCATTATGGGTTTCCAGGCAACC